CTTAACCTGGATATGTAGGTGTAGTTACAGCTACAGTGCAGGGGAAATGGGTGCTCCAGCAGAAAACTATACTATACCTCACCCCTGTGCTTTATCTGACTGTGATTTTATTGGAGATGTCTGTAATAATTTGTAAATTATCAATACCTAATAGCAGTACAAAATAATTCTTGCCTATAGACATACAAGCTCTGTTCTGTCCAGTAGAGGTTCAATTGACTTTCCCAGCTAGTTCTGTCTTCATTTGCACATTCATGTCAACATTCCTCTACTCTAAGTAAGTCTGTACTTTTTTACCCTTCTCCCTTGAACAGATAGTAACACCTTATTACAACAGGTTGTAACGGATTTCCTCATTAATGAATTAAATAATATCTTTATCTTGTGTTCACTTAAAAAAAGAAGAAATAAAAATGATCAACAGGTACATGAAAAGATGGTCAACATCACTAATCATCAGGTTTTGTACTGGTCTCAGCCTATCAATAACCAACAGTGTGGTTGGACCAGACGTTGTGATTCTTATTATGACTGCAAGAAGTCCTTCAGCAAAAACCATCAGGAAACTTTGAAAAATAGAACTTTATTACCTACAAGACCTGGAAATTGCCAACACACCTGGGAACACAGTGTGAGGTTGTGGGTGGGGTGAGAGAGAGACTCACACAGGGCCTGGGGTTCTGCTCTCACTGGGGTAAAGTGCGGGGGCATAGGGTTTCAATGGCTCCTCACTACTGGTGAATTTAGAACATAAAGAGTGGGAACACAAAGCACTAGAAGAGACAAAAACAAGTAGCCCAAATGGTCAGTAACTGAAATCAACCAAGAACAAACGAGGCTCAGTAGGGGGAGCTCTACATCTAGTCCTGTGGCTGGCATATGTTTATTTGATAGCCTTCCTTGAAGGGGATGCTGCTTTGAAATGGATGCCTTAAGCAATCACAGCCTACATCAGGTACTTGCATTACAAAAAAAGAAAATAAAAAACTGTCTGGGTTTAAACTACACATTAGAAAATTCAAATCAAAAGCGAAGAGTTATCACCTCACATCTGTTGGGATGGCCATTATCAAAAAAAAAAAAAGAAAGAAAGAAAGGGAGGAAGGAGGGAGGGAGGGAGAGTGGAAGGAAGAAAGGAAGAAAATAACAAGTGTTGATGAGGGAGTTGAGAAACTGAACCCTTGTATGTAGTTGATAGAATGTTAAATGATTTACGATGAAAAGCAGTATGGAGGTTCCTCAAACAATAAAGAGAGAATTACTATATTACCCAGCAATCCCCTTCTGAGTTTTTATCTAAAACAGCTGAATCAGATCTCAAAGAGATATCTGCATTCCCTTGTTGACAATAGCCAAGAGATGGAAACAACCTAAATGTCCATCAACGATTACGGATAAAGAAATGTGGGAGGAGACTGGCAAAGATGGCAGAGAAGGAAGACCCTGAGCTCCCCTCCCCTCATGGGCACACCAAAATCACATCTATTCACGGATCCACCACTGATGAAAAAGACCAGAACCTACCAGAAAGGATCATAAAGAACTAAAGATATAAAGAAGGAACCACAAAGAGATGGGTAGGAGGGGTGGAGTCACGGTAGAGTGAAGTACCATATCCCCAGGTAGGTGACCCCCCCAACGGGAGAATAATTACAATTGCAGAGGTTCTCCCCAAGGAGTGAGGTGTCTGAGCCTCACACTGGGCTCCCAGGCCTGATGGTCCTGCAACAGGAAGACGTGCCTCCAGAACATTTGGCTTTGAAGGCCAGCGGGCTTACTTTCAGTAGTCCCGGGGGGCTGAGGGAAATAGAGACTCCACTCATAAAAGGCACACACAGAATTTCACATGCTCAAAAAAAAAAAAAAAAAAAAAAAAAAAAGAATTTCACATGCTCTGGGACCCAGGGTATAAACAGTAACTTGAAAGAAGCCTGGGTCAGAAATACCCGCTGATATTGGAGAGTCTCCCAGAGAGGCAGGAGGCAACTGGAGCTCACCCTGGGGGCATAAACATTGGCAGCAGCCATTTTGGAGAGCTCATTCTGCCACATGGACACTGGTGCTGTGAAGTGCCATTTTGGAATCCTCCCTCTGCCCAACAGTCTGTAGGCACCAGTACTTGTCTGCAACTAACCGGGTGGGGACAAAGCCTTACCCACCAGCAGAGAGGTTGCCTTAAGATCCTCTGACCTCACAGCCACCCCTGTACACAGCCCTGCCCACCAGAGGACCGGAACCCAGCTCCAAACAGCAGTGCACAGGCACTAGACCCAGGACCTCCAGGGCCCTGAGCCAGAGAACCAAGGACTCAGCTCAAAACACTCACTGGTCAGGCACCAGTCCCAGAATCCCCAGCTCTGCCCACCAGCAAGCCTGCTCTCACCTCAGGACAAGCCTCACCCACCAGCAGGTAGGTAAGAACCCCAGAAGAATGACAGCCCCACAGCATGCAGACCCAGTCCTCATAGCAGTAGGATAGCCCTGGGGCCAGCTGGGCCCCTGCCCTGCCAACCAGTAAGCCTGCCCTAGCCTTGGAACCACCCTCATGTACCATGAGTAGACACCAGTCACAGGACAACCACAGGCCCACAATCTGCAAACCCAGCCCAACCATTAGCAGGCCAGCACCAACCGAGACCTACTGGACCTCAGACCTGCCCACCAGTTAGCCTACTCTAGGTGCAGCACCAGCCTCACCCACCAGAGGGCAGATGCCCAGCCCCAAAACAATGATAGTCCTGCAGACTGCACACCCAACCCACCCATCAGAAGGCCAGCACCTGCCCTGGGACTGGCTGGGCCCCAGCCCTGACAAACAGCAGGCCAACACAAGCTTCTGGACACCCCAGAACCCAAAGCCTGCTCTGTCAGGAACCAGTCCCACCTATCAGTGGTCCCATACCAGCTGTGGGAATAACCGGACTAGGGCCAACCAAGCCTACCAGGTTGCCTACAGTACTCCGCCCACCACAACAGAAGGACCAACACAGCTCACATAGCGGGAAATCCTGAGGAATATAGCTCTAGTGATGAGAGGGGAGTGTGATGCTGGGACACACTGGACATCTCCCACAAAAGGCCATTTCTCCAAGGTCAGGAACTGTAACCAACCTACCAGATACACGGAAATAAAAACAGCAAGTTAGAAAAAATGAGGTGACAGAAGAACATGTTCCAAATGATGGAAAAAGATAAAACCACAGAAGAAGAACTAAGTGAAGTAGAGATATGTAATCTACTCAAGAAAGAGTTCAGGTAATGATTGTTAAGATGATCAAAGAACTTGGGAGAAGAATGGATACACAGAGCAAGAAGTTAGTAGTTTCTAACAAAGAGTTGGAAAATATAAAGAACAACCAAACAGAGATGAAGAATATAATAACTGACATGAAAAATGCACTAGAAGGAATCAAGAATAGACTAAATGAAAGAGAGGAACAGATCAGTGAGGTGGACGACAAAGTAGTAGAAATCACTGACAATGAACAGAAAAACGAAAAAAGAATGAAAAGAAATGAAGACAGTTTAAGAGATCTCTGACACCAACAATCATACTAACACTCACATTATAGCAGTTCCAGAAGAAGAAGAGAGAGATAAAGGGGCAGAGAACATATTTGAAGACATAATAGATGAAAACTTCCCTAACCTGGGATCAGTAACAGACATCCAAGTCCAGGAAGCACAGAGTCCTGAACAGGTCAACCCAAAGAGGAACAAACCAAGATACATTGTAATTAAAATGTCAAAAAATAAACATAAAGAGAGAAGATTAAAAGCAGCAAGGGAAAAGTAACAAGTTACACACAAGGGAACTCCCATAACACTATTAGTTGACTTTTCAACAGAAACTGCAGGCAAGAAGAGAGCATCATGATAAATTTAAAGTTAAAAAGAAAAAAAAGTGATGGAAAGAAAAAACTGACGGGCTTCCCTGGTGGCGCAGTGGTTGAGAGTCCGCCTGCCGATGCAGGGGACACAAGTTCGTGCCCCGGTCCGGGAAGATCCCCATGCCGCGGAGCAGCTGGGCCCGTGAGCCGTGGCCGCTAAGCCTGCGCGTCCGGAGCCTGTGTTCCGCAACGGGAGAGGCCACAACAGTGAAAGGCCCACGTACCGCAAAAAAAAAAGAAAAAGAAGAAAATGACAACCAAGAATACGCTACCCAGCAAGGCTCTCATTCAGATTTGATAAAGACATCAAAAATTTTACAGACAAGCAAAAGCTAAAAGACTTCGGCACCACCAAACCAGTTTACAAGAAATGTTAAAGAGACCTCTCTAAGGGAAAAATGTTAAAGAGACCTCTCTAAAGGAAAGGCCACAACTAGAAACAGGAAAATTACAATGGAAAAAGCTCAGTGGTAAAGGTAAATATACAGTAAAGGTATTTTTAAAATAGTGCTGCATTTACAGAGAAATCATAATTGAGAAGAACTGCAATAAGATACACCTAAATGATTAAAACCCTTAGATGTCATTACTATTTGCCAGAATTGTAGGCCTGGGCCCTGGAAGTAACTCTCAGACATCTCTGTGAGGTTGAAAATATAAATATAGTCCAATTAAGTGAACACACGTGTCACTTGTTTCATGCTGCACAAGGGTCATTCCCACCCTGTTCAATTAACAAGTATTCCCTGGTGAAATGCTCTGGAATAGATAACCCACATTAATGCTACAGGAAAAACGTTGTTCTCGAACTCTTTCAGGAAATGACTTTAAACTACTCTCTGTGATTTCTGAATTCAACACAAAATTCAGGATAGAGTATGATTAAAACACATTTATACCCACACTGTGTGCCCCATCATTAGTGTACACACACAACAAGCATAGATACACAAAATTTCCCTTGGCTGTCTGTGTTCCACATCCTCCCTCCTCCATCTGAGGGGTGACAACCATGACCCCTATGAAAGATGTGGCCACCCCTATAATGTTTCCAAGGGCGTCACTGGAGAAGAGAGCCAACTGTTAAGGTGAGAGTGACAGAGCATAGCGTCACCCACCGTCGGTTTTTCTCAACTCCTCCACAAGGCAGTGGGTTCCCTCTTGAACTCGGTCCTCAATGCTCCTCTTCCCCATCCCGAAATTCCGCAGGGTCATGAGGGAGATGCGCCAGATCTCCTTCCATCTCTTCCCATTGCTGAACATGATTCATACTGGGAGGGGAAACAGAAACTAGGGGGGAGGTGCTAGGGAAGGAGGAGTGAGCTGACACTCGGCAGCCTTTCAGGTGAACCAAGCTCTGCTGGGGGCTCTTCAAATTCCTGTTTTTATCCTCTCCACCCCCACCCATTATCAATGCTGAACATGTGCACATGCACACCTACCATGTCCCTTAGTAGCTCTTTCAAGCATTGGGACACTGCCTCTTCTAGAAAACTCCTCTCCCAGATCAAACGGAGCTTCCTTCACTGCTTCATATCCATGCAAGACCACCGTTGGCTTCATTCCAAAATACACAGTGAACACAGGGACATAGACTTTTTTGAGAGTTGGGAATGGACATACATGTAATAGCAAAAGTCAATATTTTGTGCCTGATGCAGAATATATTATCATTCTACTATTATGTTTTTATTCTGCCACATGGAACCTAAAACATTTCTCAATTTATTACATAAATATTATGGTGATTGTTATAGCTACCACTTATAGCTACCACTGATGTGTCAGGCGATGGCCCGAGTAATTGGTACACAGATTACAATTAATCCTCATATCAGCACCTTCAGCAGGTTTATTTGCCCCACTTATAAATAAGGAAACTGAGGTTAAGGAATTCTGTTCCATTTCCAGCATCCCAGGGCTACTATATAGAGGATTCAAATTTGAAGCTCTTTGTATTCACCCTCTGATCCTAGAGAAATGTATCGATCCTCAATGCCCACCTCTGGACCAACAGCCAGCTGACTGCTTCAGAATCACCTGTACAGCAGTCATTAGAATTCTGATTCTGTAGCCCTAGGATGAATACTAGAATCTATATTATAAAAAATAAATTCAAATAATTTTAATGCCCAGCCTAGTTTGAGATCTGCTGGTATTACTAACACAGAAAGAAAGCAGGCATCATACAGGCAGTGCCAGGACGTGCAGCATCTCATGGAAGAAGAGTATCTTCCATCCTGCAGCATTCACAGGCTATAGACAGCAGCTCCCTGCAGAATCCAAATGAACACCATTACCATCAGTTGGACCCTGACTGATGACTACTTTCTTTCATTCACTCATGCTGGTCCTGATCCCAGGCTACTTCCTTAACATCAGGCACAATGCCCTTCTTCAGAACAGTTCTGTTTTCATGGCCATCTGAACAAAACACACAGCTTATATAGTATATGACTTCCGGAAGAAAATTTCGAATCACAGAACACTTCACCTACCACTTACCTTCAGTGCCAAATCATAGCAAATGGCTGTGAAACAAAGAAGGGAAGAAACACTACAAACTTTTGACACTTTATTATTTTGATTCTACCATACAAACACCTAAATGTTTCTCTACTCACAAAACACATTACTTTGCTCATCTATTTATGACAATGACAGGCCTGAAAAGGCAAGAAAAAGGTAAAAAGTTACAGGAAGTAATTTACTTCACGCTGACCTGTTTTGACAGTGTGCCCATAACAATATGTATCGGTTTCATCATTGGGATTAATTTACTTACAGTTTGCAAGACAGTGAAGAAGCATAAAACCCACTTACATTGGTTAAGGATTTGCCGATGTCCTTAACATCTAATATTTAAGGATATCTCCAGGAATTGAGAGAGGAGTGGGGGCCAGGAGGGAGCTGCCCTTTCCCAGAGCTCTGTTTCCAGAGTGAGAGGAGAAGCAGACAGGAGAGAAAGAGCACAGCCGGATCCACAGAAACCTTCTCTTCTTACTCAGACAGCTGGGAGCCTGAAATCTAAAGCTTTTGTAACAGTCCCTGCTAATTCAGCTTGTGCCTCTCTGATAGAAACAGACCAATCAATTACAGCCACTTTGCACTCACATTCTGAGTAGACCTTGCCTCACTGATAAAAATAAACTTTTTGTCTTGTTTTCTCTGTGTCCAATGACCACTCTGGAGATTCCGGTTTAACTGTACTGGGATTGGGTCGAGGTATAGATCATTTTTTAAAAAAGGAGAGAGGGGAGTCCCACTGCGCAGCCAGGATTGAGAACCATTGAAATAAATAATTTGAGGCCGAAAAAAGGCTTATAACTCTGGATGCAAACAATGACCAGTTGGAGATTTATGACTCTGAGGCCAATCAGTGTATTCTATGCCTTTTTTTATTTTGTTTTTTTTTAAAAACGAAACAAAATAAAATGACACAGGATGGGAGAGACCACTACAATACTAATAGATGAACAAAAAATTTATATTCTGAATGTAGAAAAAATTCCTATGAATCATTAAAAAAAAGAAAACATAAATATAGGAATAAAAAAACCCTGAACATCTTCATGACACAGGAAATCCAAATGGTCAACAAACCAAATGATCAACAAAAAATCAAAATGTACTTATTACTTTTTCTTCTTTGAATTTTATTTTATACAGCAGGTTCTTATTACTTATCCATTTTATACATATTAGTGTATAAATGTCAATCCCAATCTCCCAATTCATCACACCACCACCCCACCCCTCCCCCACTTCCCCCCTTAGTGTCCATACGTTTGTTCTCTACATCTGTGTCTCAATTTCTGCCCTGCAAACTGGTTCATCTGTACCATTTTTCTAGGTTCCACATATATGCGTTAATATACGATATTTGTTTTTCTCTGATTTACTTCACTCTGTATGACAGTCTCTAGATTCATCCACGTCTCTACAAATGACCCAATTTCGTTCCTTTTTATGGATGAGTAATATTCCATTGTATATATGTGCCACATCTTCTTTATCCATTCATCTGCTCATGGACACTTAGGTTGCTTCCATGTCCTGGCTATTGTAAACAGTGCTGCAATGAACATTGGGGTGCATGTGTCTTTTTGAATTATGGTTTTCTCCTGGTATATGTGCAGGACTGGGATTGCTGGGTCATATGGTAGTTCTATTTTTAGTTTTTTAAGGAACCTCCATACTGTTCTCCATAGTGGCTGTATCCATTTACATTCCCACCAACAGTGCAAGAGGGTTCCCTTTTCTCCACACCCTCTCCAGCATCTGTTGTTTGTAGATTTTCTGATGATGCCCATTCTAACTGGTGTGAGGTGATACCTCATTGTAGTTTTGATTTGCATTTCTCTAATAATTAGTGATGTTGAGCAGCTTTTCATGTGCTTCCTGGCCATCTGTATGTCTTCTTTGGAGAAATGTCTATTTAGGTCTGCTGTGCATTTTTAGATTGGGTTGTTTGTTTTTTTAATATTGAGCTGCATGAGCTGTTTATATATTTTGGAGATTAATCCTTTGTCCGTTGATTCATTTGCAAATATTTTCTCCCATTCTGAGGGTTGTCTTTTCTTCTTGTTTATGGTTTCCTTTGCTTTGCAAAAGCTTTTAAGTTTCATTAGGTCCCATTTGTTTATTTTTGTTTTTATTTCCATTACTCTAGGAGGTGGATCAAAAAAGATCTTGCTGTGATTTATGTCAAAGAGTGTTCTTCCTATGTTTTCCTCTAAGAGTTTTATAGTGTCCGGTTTTACATTTAGGTCTCTAATCCATTTTGAGTTTATTTTTGTGTATGGTGTTAGGAAGTGTTCTAATTTCATTCTTTTACATGCAGCTGTCCAGTTTTCCCAGCACCACTTACTGAAGAGACTGTCTTTTCTCCATTGTATATTCTTGCCTCCTTTGTCATAGATTAGTTGACCATAGGTGCGTGGGTTTATCTCTGGGCTTTCTATCCTGTTCCATTGATCTATATTTGTTTTTGTGCCAGTACCATATTGTCTTGATTACTATAGCTTTGTAGTACAGTCTGAAGTCAGGGAGTCTGATTCCTTCAGTTCCGTTTTTCCCCCCAAGACTGCTTTGGCTATTCGGGGTCTTATGAGTTTCCATACAAATTTTAAGATTTTTTATTTTGTTTTTTAATGTTTCTCTTGTAATGTTATATCTAACACTAGGACACTTTGTCCTTGAAAATGAAAGGTTTTTAAATATTTTAATGTACTGTATTAATATTACATTTGCGTATACATAATATAGTTAACGATGACATATTTAAGATCCTTTAAAAATCAGAATGGAATAACTATGGTTCAGACACCTAAAATGAAGCCACATACTCATTGTGGATGTGTTTAGACATGTTCCAGCATCACTGAGAACTTGAATTCCCAACTGTGTCAAACTCAAGGACTCCACCAGCCGTTTTCAAAATAATATATGCTAACAGGTGCTTGCTACAATTTTGTATTTTCAAAGTTCCCTCCCCCTTCACAACTATGTAACCATTTCGAACCCCAACCAATTCTTGCTTACAAGCATCCTTACATACTGTCATCTACAATTGTAATTCTTGACAAAAAGTTATATGCCCTTGTGGTTTTCTGCCTTTATAAATTTCCCCATTTTGTAGTCTGGAAGAACACAATTTAAGTGCTTCTTGGATCTGTGTCTCCTGGGCTATAGTCCTAACAAACCCCAAATAAACACCGCTTGATTTCAACCAGATCTACATTCTTGGAATTCATAGTAATAGTTAATAGTAACTTAATTCAAACATCTTGAATGACCAAAGATAAAGTAATTATATAAGTAAATGTACATGACTCTTTCCTTGGAACTCCACATCTACCCCACCAAAATAAACATTGGAAGGTAGAGACTGTAATTTTGTATTTTTCAAATGAGTGAAAGGAAGATTCTGGGTAAACAGAAATGTCCAGTGTCACATAGCTCATAATTAATAAAACCAGGATTTAAACTGAGATTTTCTGATATCCACTGTGATGCACTCTCATATATATGACACCTGCCTCCAGAACGATTTTAGAAAAACAAAACCAAACCCCAAAAATGTTACTCTGAATACACACCCAACTGATTGTTCACAAAATAACAGGCTTCACAATAAATAGATGTCCCTGAACTCCAAGGAAAAAGGGTCACAGATTCTCAGCCCCAGAGTGGGCAACATTAAGTTCCAACCAATTCCAGAAAGGTGTCTTGTTCCCTAAGTACCTAAGGAAATTAATTTTTATTACCTGCTGAGAAAGCCATGAAGTAGTCAGTCTTCTTAAAGTTGCCGCTCTCATCCAGGAAGTGGACTGGGTCAAACACCTCTGGGTTGGGGAATTCTTTGTCATCATGTAGCACAGAACTCAGCAATGTTACTATAGTCGTGCCCTGGAATGAAAGATGAAGATAAATGAATTATAAAGAGGTCGTGGAGCGGCAGAAATGTTACAAGTCATTTAGTCCCATCTTTTGATCTAGAGATGAGGAGTCCCAGGTCCAAAGAAGGGCAGCGGCAATTCCAGACAGACAGACCAAGTAATAAACAGGGATGAGTTTAAGACCAGTGGCAGTGATGTTACTAAAGTGGCCTCTCCAATAGCATTTGAAGTATTGCGTACTTGGTTACTTGGGTGCTAGATCTCTGAATCCCCTTTACTTATCACAACGTTTGGACACTGCTGTCTGTATCCCACCCTTGACTCTATTTCATCATTTCAGCTTTCTTACATCTCATTTGTGGATCACAGTTTAAAATGGAAGCCTCTGAGGGCTCTTGAAAAGTCAGATGTATTTGGAATCTGTTTATAGGGCTTTTTAAGATAGAGGTCTGATCTGATTAAAAATGGCATCTGGCAAATCCATACAGAGACAGATTAGTGGTTGTTGGGGGCTGTAAGGAATGAGGAATGGGCAATGACTGCTTAACGGGTGGTGGATTTCCTTTTGCAGTGATGAAAATGTTCTGGAACTAGATAGTAGCTATGGTTGCACAACACTGTGAATGTACTAAATTTCACTGAATTGTACACTTTAAAATAGCTAAAATGGTCATTTTTATGTTATACTTATTTTACCACAGTAAGAAAGAAAATTTTCCCAAGAGGAAAAGTGACTTCTTAGATAATATCAACAAGTACACTAAAAACTACTGAGCATTTATCTTTGGGATGAAATTTGTTTCTCTTAATTTTAAAATGTGGGGGAACACTTCATTATGGATGAATTCTAGATTAAAAAAACAGAGATGATAAAATTAGAAAAATTCTCATTTTTCAACAATTCAAGTAAAGATCATCAATTAATGCTAAAACTGTTGGATGAATGATTTGGGAAACAGTATATTCACAAAGTACCATGCCATAGATTTTTAATTAATTACCTATGAAAACAGAACCTCAGCAATGGAGAGATATGGCAGATTTCTCCTTAATAAGAGATCACCTTAGCATCACCCATAATGGGATAAGCTGACATTACGTGTCTTCAGCCGAAAAGTGATGCAGTGGGACATACACAACATCACCTAAGTAATTTTCTTGCCAAATATACACAACTGGAATCTAATCTCAAGAAAACAATCACATAAAGCCAGATTGAGGAACGTTTAACATGACAATTGTCCTTGACTCTTCGAAATTGTCAGTGTATTAAAATGAAATAAACATAGGAAAAGGAACTGTTCTTGATAACAGGGGAGTAAAGGGGCAGATAATCAAATTAAATACTTGTTCCTTGATTGGACAGTAGATGGATGCCCCCTCAAAAAAAGCTACACAAGATATTTTAGGATAATTGAGAAAATGTAATTATAGTATATATATATTAGAAAAAATATTGTATAGATGATAATTCCTTTAGTGTGAATGCTTTGTTATGTAGATAAAGTCTTTGTTCATTTGTTCTTAGAAGATACATACTGAAGTATTTAGGTGTTAAGTGTGATAGACAGATGACAGACAGACAGGTAGTTACAATATAGATATATACACAATTTCATATGTATTTCATATATTATATATATATATATATCCATTGTACATTTAAATACTATTTAAATTTTAAAATCTTTTAAATTCAAAATTGGGGGTAATTGCACCCTTTAAGTTTATCGTATTTAAGGTCTATAATTTTGTTTTTAAAATTATTGCCTTGCATATTTTAAAACAAATAATACAGGAAAATGTTACTTTAAGATTTTAAAAGCAGGTATATTTTCAGCAAATGGTGCTGGGACAAGTAGATAACCATAAAGAAAAGAAATGAAATATGACCATTACTTCACTCCATAAGTAAAAATGAACTTTAAATGGATCATAGAGCTAAATATAAACGCTAAAAGTATAAAACTTGAAAAAGAAAAGCATAAATATTTGATAGCATGTGCTGGAAAATAAATATGACACAAAAGCCCAACTCATAAGAGAAATAATCGATAAACTGGACTTCATAAAAATTTTAAACTATGCTTTTTTTTTTTTTAACTTCTGCTCCTTGAAAGACATTCTTAGAAACCAAAAAAAGAAAGAAAAAGACACAAACCGGGAGTAAACATGTAAAACACTGAGACATGACAAAGGGATTGCATACGAAATATATAAAGCACTGCAATAATTAAATAAAGCAAACTCAATAAAAAATAGGACTTTGAGCAAACACTATCAGTGAACACATACGAATGGCCAATCAACACATGAAAAGAAGCCAAATATCATTATTCACCGAGAAAACAGAAGTAAAACAAAATGAGATATCACTACACAACCACTTCAGTGTCTAAAATTTAGAGGGTGCGGCAGCAAGTGTTGGGGCGTGGAAGTCGGTGGGCACGCAGACGGCGCACCCAGGTTCCATTCAGGGCCAGTGGCCACGTGCTTGCCCGCGACTCGGCCTCTTGGCCAGCACAATGCAAACCGTAGACAACACAACAGTGTGGGGAGGAGCCTTTGCCTCTGGAGCTTTCTTTGCCTAGTCTCCGGCCTCATGACGCTTCAGGCGAAGGGCCGTCTTCCCGCCCCCAGTTCCCGCGCCGCGCGGGACCCGCAACTGTGCCACCGGCTCCGGAGCTGAGAGCGCTGCCAGGCTGTCGCGCCAGGATGGGGGATGAGCAAGTCGGGCGCTATACCTGGTCCAGGCAGAGCCGCCCCACCTGCCCTGCGCCCTCGGAGAGGAAGCTCGCTGGACCACGTCGCACGGCGCCTCGCTGCCGCCAAGCCCTAGGCACTCCCTGTGCTGCAAAAAAGCGTGTTCGGAGAGGCCACCGCTTCAGCAGTGAGGCCTGCCTCCACCCGCCGTCTGACCCTGTCTGCGCGGGATCCGGAGCCGGATTCCAGCCGGGCTGAGCCTCAGCCCGCTCGGGGGCTATGGGCACCACCAGCGACCGGGAAGGGGTGTGGCTTCACGGGGTGGCGCCAAGGTCCCGACCTTTAACCCCTGATCCCCGCCCCACCTTCCACGTGGGGCTAGTCAGACATCCGACACGCGCCTGCAAGCCCTTACACGGAAAAGCGAGAAAACCTCCAGCGTTAGCACACCGGACAATCAGTTCCACCAAAGTTAACAACGATGCTTTAAATGTTTTATTTTTTTCGCTTTAAAAATATTTACAGGGCTTCCCTGGTGGCGCAGTGGTTGAGAGTCCGCCTACCGATGCAGGGAACACGGGTTCGTGCCCCGATCCGGGAAGATCCCACATGCCGCGGAGCGGCTGGGCCCGTGAGCCATGGCCAATGGGCCTGCGCGTCCGGAGCCGGTGCTCCGCAACGGGAGAGGCCACAACAGTGAGAGGCCCGCGTACCGCAAAAAAAAAAAATTACAGATCTGAAATCTCTCCCCTTTTGCCCCTACCCATACTCAGGAGAAGAGAAACGGAAAGAGGCGTTGAGATGATTGTTCAAAGCCCCCAAGGGCTGGCTTGGCCGGCCATGTGTGCGGGTACATAAATACAGGTGTGTATGTGGGGAGAGGCGTGTACTTGGTTTGGTGTTTTTCTGATTTTTTTTTCCCTACCAGTCAATATCGTTCTGGCCAAAACTCCCTTTCCCACCACCACCCAAGAACAGCCCCTCCAAAATGGTTTTCAAAACGTATTGGATTGTTTTGGGTAGAACGAGGTGATCT